ACTGCTTCTCAGAGAGTTGTAATCAGCCCTCACTTCCTGAGCATTTGGGGGCTTCCTCAAGTATAAATTGGGTTCATTTGCAGCTTCCCCACTGCTGGCTTAGGAGTCTGTTTTCTAGGGCTTCTGCTAAGTAAATCCTTTGACACTCACCCATCTGCTTTCCAGCTTCCAGAATTTGGTTTCTCTTTCCTGTTCTTTTAGCCCTGTGAGTTTATTCACTTTTTGAAAGAGTTCTGGGTAAGGAGCATAAGTGTGTGCAAACCATCATCTTTATCCAGAACCTAATAATTCTTCCAGGACTGCTTTTTGTCATTTGCTAATAAATTTTAGCTGCTGGCAACCTCCTATTTCCATATCTGTATCCTAATAAAATTGTGTTTCTTAAAATAATTCCTGAGAGTTTTTGTGATATTTAGGTTGCTACAAGGAGTGCATCACCCCTCTGCTACTTTAGCTCTAAAAGTCTCCTAAACTGGACTCACACAGTTGACTTTGATGTCGTTGTTCCTTAAGGGGATTGCTGGTTAGCCCTGGTGGTCTGGTGGTTAAAATCCAGTGCTCTCACTGCGTGGTCTTGGTTCATTTCCTGGTCAGGGAGCCACACCACTCATCTGTCATTGTCATGCTGCAGCGGCTGCATGTTGCTGTGATGCTGAAAGCTATGCCACCAGTATTTCAGATACCAGCAGGGTCACCTATGGAGGGCGGTTTTCAGTGGAGCTTCCAGATTAAGACAGACTAGGACGAAGGACCTGGCCACCCACTTCTGAAAAAATTGGCCGTGAAAACCCTGTGACTAGCAACGGAGTATTGTCTGATAGAGCACCAGACGTGAGAGGATGGCGCAAAAAGACCAGGCAGGATTCTGCTCTGCTGGACGCAGGATTGGAATAGATTTGATGGCACTAACAACAAAAAAGGGATTCCTAGTTGAGTAGATTTTAGTAGCACCTCATCTTGCCTTATTGTGCTTGATTCTGTTATTCTTCAATGAATTCTATTGCTATTTAATGCTTAATAGGAGCCAACAATTTATTTTAAAGATTGAATTATACAGGATCCCTGCTCAGTGAGCTGTTGATCTAAATCAGTGGCTAGCAATTCCTGTTAATTAGCTGAATCCTCTACTCCCTGTCAAGCCACCGTCATTTCATTAACATTGCAGCTCTGCTTTGAGTCATAACATTACTTGTTAGGACAAGTTAGCTGTTACCTTTTACTTGTTAATACAGGTGTTTCAGGTATTGTTGTAACTGAATGTTTTTTGGCCCTTGGCCGAAACTTTTGCTTATTGTGTTCATTGCAGACCTAGTGCAAATTAGAAAGTGGTTTTTGCCAACTCAGTTCTGCTTTGAGCCATTTCCTGGTTACAGTTGATCGTTCAGGGCAGCTACATTAATCGTAGGGGCAATGCCATGGGCTTCGAGATAGTTTAGACAGTAGACAGCATTTGCAAGATGGCAGCGCAGCAGACAGTATTCAGAGAGAGGCAAAGAAGGCCTGTGTGCTGGAAGTTCATACCCACAAGTGCCCAAGTGCCTCAAGTCTAACTTGCAGATTCCTTCCTTCACTCTTTTCCCATTTCAACTACTGTTACAAATCCCAAATGTTAGCATATGACTGCAGAGCAATCAAAGAGAATCAGTAGTAGACGGGAAAATTCAAGCTAGACAGGACAATTCAAGCTGGTACAGCAATGCAACCTGTTGTTGCCATCAGGAATCAAATGCTTTCCTTTAGTTGAAGGTGAGGATATACCATTAACTCATCCCCTACAGCAGGAGTGGGCAACCTATGACCTGCAGGCCAAACCTCCCCTGAAGCCTGTTTTTTACTGTCCTCTAAGGTTGATGTTACAGTTTTAAAGGGTAGTTTAAAAAAAAAAAATGATGATAATAATGAAGATGAGAAAGAGGAGGAGGAGGAAGAGAAAGCAGAAGAAGGAAAAGAAAAGGAAGAATATGTAACAGAGACTGTATGTGATCTGTAAACCTAAAATATTTTCTTTCTGGCTCTCTACAGAAACAGTTTGCCAGCCCCTGGTCTAAAGACAAGTCGCTACTGGCTTTCCTTGTTCCTTTCCTGTCCCACATGCTCCCTCCCCAACCAGGGAAAACTCTCCACCTCTTTATCATGGCTCTGTCAACGTAAATATGTGTGTGTGTTCATGTGTGGTTTCAAAAAATAATTAATTATAGGGGCTGGCCGGATGGTGTAGTGGTTAAGTTCACATGCTCCACTTTGGCAGCCCGGCCCAGGGTTCATGGGTTTGGATCCCGGGCGCAGACCTACACACCGCTCATCAAGCCATGCTGTGGCAGTGTCCCACGTACAAAATAGAGGAAGATGGGCCCTGATGTTAGCTCAGGGCCCATCTTCCTCAGCAAAAAGAGGAAGATTGGCAACAGATGTTAGCTCAGGGCCAACCTTCCTCACCCCCCAAAAATAAATAAATAAATAAAATGAAAAGAAACAGGTAAAATTAGTTTAAAAAAATAATTAAAAATAGATAGATTTAAATCACCTGTTCTCAAGTTTGTGTTGTCAGCCAATGTACCGATATGGAGGGCAGTGCTATATGTATGTGTGTACATAAGTCAGCATGACCAGTCATGGCTTACTTACCTAGCTACAACTGGAAAAAATAGAAAAATTATGGACAGTGTTTTTGTTAACACTTTTGCTTAGTTGGAGATACTGTCAGGAAGATATATGCTGAACTTGTTTCTCCTTGTGAGTACAAAATGTGAACAAAAAATAAAACATGCTTATGAAATACAAATATCTTTTTGTTTACTGAAAGCCTAACCAAAGAAAAGATTCCACTTAAACAATTAACTTTAGAATTAGATAGGTAATTTTTAAAAATAATGAGTTTACTAACTATTCTCTCTTACTGTGGATATTAGCCAAGATTTGGTCTTGACCCATAGAGATGTGCAGGTTCACCATCACTTCAGTTTTTGTCTTTTTGTGGCATTTTCAGTCTGCATACTCTAAAGCAGCCACATACCATTTCCAGGTGGATTTTTCAAAAACTTAGCTCTGATCCTGTCAAATCAGTCTAATCGGCAGTAAGAAATTAAACCAGATAAGTAAATACCAAACACTCCTTTTTGAGTCAATTAACTAACCTAAAAGTCATAGAAAAATGCCAGTGATACAGTTTTGTGTTGTTCAACATATTATGCTATAATTCTCTCTGTGTGGGGGACATTTTTTATATGTACCATGAGTCCACTGGCAAATTCAGCATACTTATAAACTGATTATTCCTTCAACAATGGAATATTATCCCTATGCTATCAAAAAGTGAATTAATACTGTATTGCATATTTAAAATTGCTAAGAGAATAAATCTTAAAAGTTCTTATCACAAGGAAAAAAAATTCTTTAACTATGTATGGTGACAGATATTAACCAGGCTTATTGTGGTGGTCATTTTGCAATATATACAATATCGAATCATTATGTTGTACACGTGAAACTAATATAATGTTGTATGTCAATTATACCTCAATAAAAAAATTAATTTTTAAAAAATGAATTGAGGGGCCAGCCTGGTGGTACAGCGGTTAGGTGCGCGTGCTCCACTTCGGCAGCCCAGGATTCCCAAGTTCGGATCCTGGGTGCACACCGACGCACCGTTTGTCAAGCCATGCTGTGGCAGCGTCCCATGTAAAGCAGAGGAAGATGGGCATGGATGTTAGCTCAGGGCCAATCTTCCTCACACACAAAAAAGAAAAAAGTGAATTGAGGATAGAACATTTGGATGATTATTCAGAAATAAAGCTTAAGGGCCCAGTTTATGTCTCTAATACCCAACCTACGTCCAGAATATAACCATGATCAACGTTTAATGTTCCTCTTCAATGGCTCCAGTGAATCACATTGTCAAGTAACTAATTTAATGCTCTATTCCTTCCTTTGATCCCCACTGTGTCTCTGATCCAGGGGCACACGGAATTGTCCTATTGTCATAGGGTTCCTCTCCAGCTGATAAAGCAAACTAGTTCTGAGGATAAGCATTGAAATCAAACATTACTTTGTAATTTTTTTTCTTTGCCAAAATTTTCATTTGTAAAAATAATTCAAATTATATAGTGTTTTCTGTTGTTGTTGTTGTTGTTTGTTTGTAGAAATCCAGAGGTCAACACTAAGCCAGTGGCTTCATTTTTTAAAAAATGAGAACATAAAATGGAATTCCAACAAGAAGCTGGTCTTGAAGCTTATGAGCGTATCCCTCACGGTGTGCTGTGTAGACTTGAAGGGGCCATTATTGGGATCTTTAACTGTTGTCAACAGTAGATATTGAAGGAAGAAAAACTTGAGTTCAAAAACATCATAGCTGAATCAGAGGAGGTAGAGAGATCCTCATATACCCTCTCTTAGCAGAAAGTGAACCAATTAGTTGTGCACTTTTTGGAGGTTTAATCATCTCAGATTTATTAATGAGGCCCACTGCTGAGGGGGTAGCGGAAGGGAACTTATATATAATACAGGGATGAAATGAATGGTTAATTAGGGTATGAAACTTGTTCCAAAATGGAATGCATTGAATTTATAATCAATAAAACTACATCCCTAAAATATATCCCTAAAACTACAAAAATTTTAAAAAATAAAGGGAGAGACAGAGCCATTGATTAATTCGTAATAATTGACTTCATCAAGAATAATCTAAAGAAGTACAAAATCTGAAATCCCTGCAAGTTGCACAATTCCTTATTCTGGGTAATCTGTTTATTGCTAAAGTCTCACTTCTGAACTCATGATTTTCTTAAAAAGAAAGGGAAAATAAACTACCCTTTCACAACAGATCTGGAAAGGCTTTGAAAGTCACTGTTGCCCTAATAACATGATTAAAAGTCAGCCTGCTCTTGTAGTTAATGAGCTTCTATACTCCTGCAGGGAGAAGGCTGAGCCATCCTGAGGGACTGCAGCATGGCCAAAAGCTCCCAAGCAATTAGAGGCTGATTAAGTGTTTATCTTCTTTACAGGTGGGAAGGAAAGAATGAAAATGAAGTGGGCAGATGTAAAGAGACCGGCAAAGTTCACGTGACTGTGGATCTCAAATACTACCGACCAACTGAAGTGGTAAGGTCTCCCTGGCTGCCCAGCGCATGGCCAGGTTTGGCTCGCTGGCTGGGAATATGCTGTCACTGAATGCTCACAGCCAACCTTCAGACCTCTCCATTGGGCTCCCTGGCATCCTTCAGAGGGCATTTCCCAAACCAGAATACAGGGAATTGAATTTGAGTTGTTATTCTCATTGCTTTATAAAGGAAACAAGAGTAAAACCACCCAGGGAAATAGTTGATTTCAGAAATGGAGAGTGCTATCAAAGGCAAATCTCATCATGTTATTCTCCTGTTTTGATGGGTGAGCCTTGATACCTACAGGATGTCTGACTTACAAGGCCCTTCATGATCTGCAGGATGTCAAGATCTGGAAGGCTGCCTACCTCCCCAGTGCACACAGACACACACACTCACACTCACGCTTGCGCACACACACACTTAACCCATAAATAGTCTCCCTGTACATTTTTTAAAATTCAGCTCAAGAGCTGTCCTGCCTATGAATCCTTTTCTGGCCCATATACCACTGACATCTCTACTCCTTCCTTTGTATCTAACATTATATGCTATATGTAATTATATTATAACATCTATTATAATTTATTATACTCATTTGTTTACATGTCTTTCTCCCTTTATCCAACTGTGAACTCTTTGAGGATAAGGATTTTTTTTTAAATGTCTTAGACTATAACAAAATAGGTGCTTAATAAATAGTGATTCATGGGTAGATGGATGGATGAATGGATGAATTTCTGAATACATAAGTTCCTGTATTAAGAGGTAACCTATAGATTATTAGAACATAATATCCTCATTTCCTAAACTTATAAAACCTCCTAGCTTGGTATTGTCACTTTAATGTGGTCCACCCTCGCTATGGTCACAAAACTCAACGTGTTAAATATACCTAAAGATAATAGAAAGCAGCATCTTCAGAGAGTGATGTTCAAATGTGATGGTTACCTAGTGAAATGTACATTAACTGTCAAAATAGAATCCTTTTGGACCTGTTTTATCTGTGTTTTGAACTAAATTCCTATCTGTTGTATAAGCTTTCAAAAATTAGGAAAACCCCAATGAAGAGAGATTGAAAGTGAATATGTCATCAGTAACCTCCCTTTAAAATGTCTTGTTTCAAACAAAAGAAAAACTTCATTTCATGCAGTCTTACACACAGGAGGAAATAAAAAGGAAAGGAAATAACCAGTGCTTGGAGACTAGGGCTGTCGAGTCAATGCATTGTCCTGGCACAGGGCGTGGCCAGGTCTTTGACACACAGCGAACAATGGTTCCCTGGGCTAATGGTGAATGGGTGTGCCAAGGAGAGGATGTGCTCTGTCTCTGGGGAAAGAACATACTAGCACACTCCTGCTGACACAGCAAGGAATGCCTGTCCGTGGAGCCCCCTAGCCATACTGGCATTTGTTTCCCTGTTCTAAAGATGTGCCACAAGGTTGTCATTTTTCTGGAACATTGCACAGGTTACATAAATGGGCAAATTTGTTTCTGTGCTCCCTAACAAAAATTGTCATCTCAGAGTGGAAAATTTACTGAGCCGACAGAAACCTCAATCCTTGTAACAAGTTAAATGTGGCTTTTTCTCTCTCCAACACCAAAATAGTTTCAAAAGCTAGGAAGTCATTAAGAATGGCTTGTCTGTCATTCTTATTTAGGCAAGGTGTGGGATTGATAAGGACACAGAACAAAAGAACTTGCTGAACAGGAAGAGGACCCTTGGACTAACAAGACGGTTCTTGAAGTCCTATCGACCCCTCTTTCCTGCTGAGACGCTGCATCCCTCCTCATTTCTTTTGTTCGTTCAAATGTCATCATCATACCTGTTCTGCAGCTCTATTTACACTAGTTGTTTGAACATAAGAGTGGCGTCTTATTTCATATGCTTGCTTTGTTTTTTCACTGATCCAGCTTTCACCCCAGATTCCCTTTATTGCTTGATTTTGGATTTTTAACTGCAGTTCATCTTTCTAAGCCTCTAGGCTGCATTAATTTTGTTCACGCCACTTCAACTTAGTATCCTATTGGGCAAGCTTTTCTTGTATAGTGAGACTAAACTTTTAACCTCATTCCTCAGAACAAGTTTTCCCAAAACTTGGATCAACTTGCCGGCCTTATGTTGAATTGCCTCAGTGGTGATAGTATTCTTGCAGTTAAAAGGGGACCAGATCTGGAGACTGACTTGTAAATGAGCTTTCACTTAAGTGTGGGGCCATAGTAGCCAGCACTTCTAGAGAGTCATTCGGCATGTGTCCTGCAAACTCGAGCATCTCTAAGTTTCTCAGAACTCAATGTAGGGTAGACAAGGAATTCTCCCGTGTCTAAATTGTACCCTTCACTTTTCAGTGTCTAAGTCCATCTTGCAAGTGCCTGAGGCTTCTTTTCGTTCTCCCTCAGACTCTATAAAAGTTTGTTTTCCTGACTAGCTTTAGTCCTGTATCCTCTAAGATCTTCCACACATAGGGCACTCTGAAGCCAAAAGCATAAACTAGATCTTCTTAGAGTCAAGTGGTTCCAAAATGACTGATAGGAAAAATAAAGAAAGAAAATTTGAAAAAAAAAAAAGTAATAAGGACTTACCAGGTCTCAGAACCCTGGTCTCCTATCCAATATCCTAGAGCAAAGCTAAAGAGAAATAGACCTTGATGTTGTTTTTTGAATAAGATTCAGCCTAGTCTTAAGAAAGGCTCTTTCCTTGGCACAGGCCAGCACTAACCCAAAAGAGGCCACCAGTGATTCCATATGGACCATACTTCCACATGCACCAATCATTTTTATCCTCATTGATTTAGCCACCACAAAACCTTAAATCTTGCTTCTATATCAACATGAAGAGTCTTGAAAGTTTTTGTTCTGAGCTAAGGACTCTGGCATTCAAATCGAACTGAATGAAGTCACATTTTGTGGTTCTCTACCTGTAAACCTCTGGATTTCCTTTGAATTTTTAGGAATTTTGCTACTGTGGAAAGCTTGATCCTGGAAATTAGACTTTAAATTCCAGTATTTGGTGATGGCGATATTAATACTTGAGTTCTGTGCTGCTTAGAACTCCTGTCTTGTGTGTAATTTTCTGTGTGTGCATACATTTACACGCAGATTCATTGCATTGTGCACTCATGCACAGAGAAGTAGGGTTGTGCTTAAGTGTGGCCCCTAGGGCCAGACTACCTGAGTTCAAAAACTGTCCATTACTAGCTATATGACCTTAGGCAAGTTACTTAACTTCTCAGTGCCTCTGTTGCCACGCCTTTAAAAATAGGATTAATGATAGAACTTCTTTCAAAGGATTCTTGGAGAATTCACAGTCAGTTATACATCATGCTTATTAGAATAGTGTCTGGCACACAGTAAAATACCCAATATTGATGCTGTTATTGTTATTTATTAATTCATTCATTCACCAAATATTTACCAAACACTGTGTTAGACCCTGGGAATACGGTATGAACAAGACAGACACATTCCTCGCCCTTGTGGAGATTGTAGATATAGATCTATAGAGGTATAGATCAGTTACTTAAATTTAGTACCTTTTGAAAAGTAAGATGACATCATTGGTGAATTGTACAGATTAGCCAGTAAAAAGCAGATAACAAGGTATAATCAAAGCTTCCAGCAAACATTAATATGTACTTTGATTTTTTTATTCTTGTTTTATCTTGATTTTCATCCTTTCTGATCCTCTTTCTGAAGATTCAGTAGCTATTCAGTGGTATGGAAATATCATGTATATATGAGAAAATTGATATTGACCTATTACTTAATTAAAAATAACCACAAAGTTGTCTTCTTTTTGTTTGAGAATTTTTAACTTGGAAAACTCACAAAGGTTAGATTAATGAAGTAGTCATCCTAATGTGCCAATTTTTAAACCACACCAAATGGTCAATCCACTTAAAAATAAAAAAGCTAAGATTTTATTTTCAGTGAAACAAACAAAAAAATTCTCTTTTTCTGCAGAGCAGTTTAGGAAATGGCATAGAGGACACATTTACAGACCAAAATTGAAATCACATCTTTTTCATGAAAAATATCTTGACTTAAACTCTACTGGATGATGCAAACTAAATTTTTTCTTGCTGTATTATTTGTCTTTAACATTTATTTTTCTTGCCATTGTATTTCTAGTGTCCTCAATTGTGATTGGTTTTTCTTTTATTTACTTAGATACTTTATGTTTATTCCTATTCTTACAGATATTAGAAAAAGTCCTGAGTTAAATTCTAGAATTGAGAAAGCAGTAACTTTAAAGAAGTCTCATAAACTAGTTAAAACAACAACTTCCTTCAGTAAAACCATGTGTCCTATTTCTAATCAAATTACCATATGCTTGTCGAGTTGTCCCCTCCACAAACTTTTCCTAATATTTTTCTGTAAATGATGTTAAGTTAAATGGCCCATAATTGCTTGCTCTATCTCGTAGCCCTGTTTAGAATAATGCTGTGTAACACTTTCCAGACCTCAGGAATCTGATCTGTCATCCGAGGACTTGTATAAATACCAGTTAGGGCTTTCCTCAGCTCCATCTCTGTGTTTTGGGGGTCTTGAAACTGTCCCCTTTTTGTCCCATAGCTGTTCTCACCACCTTCTCACACTTCTCCTCCTGTAGCACGAAATTAGATCCTCCCTACTCCATCCCTTCATCTTCTCCAGCTCTGTTAGAAGCCAGTTGATCTCTCCCTGTCCTGATCCTTCTGACCTCTAAGGCTCTAATCCTACCCCTCCACTCCCGCTTTTCTTTGTTCCTTGTTTTGACTGGTGGCAGCTGGGGTAAGAGGATGCAGAGAGAGCAAATTAAGGGCGAGTCCCTTTCTTTCTGCATTCCTGGACCTGTAAAAGGAGAGGCTAGACTATTTGTTCTGTAAGGTCCCCTCCAATTTTCATATCCTAGCATTCTCTGCATTTATAACTATCAGACTACAATGAAGTGGAATATTGTCACTAATGCCTCATCATAATGCTTCCTCTTTTGTAATTATTCTCTGAACTTCTTACTACTTGTATTTTATAAATAGTTTGTATCTCTAAATCACTGTTTATGTATTTTAAGCCTCCCTCTTAGGCTCC